GGCACATCATCAGGCCTCGCCCCGTTGTTCACTGGCAACAGGGACAAGGTCCCAAGAGTTCGACGCACAAACACACGTCCGGCCGTGGCAGGAGCACCCGCAACAGGACATCAATCCGCTGCGTATCCATGGTTGCCTCCCCCTCCTTCGCAAACACGACGGCCTACACCAGACTTGACTTCGACACCTGTTGGCGAGGCCGCTGCAATGGCCACTGAGGGTGCGGGAAACATCCAGCTCGACGAGCCCGTCCAGGTTTCGGATTCGTCACCCATTCCTGTGCCCGTGAACGGCCCAACCTCGCAGCACGGTGTTTTTGGGACACTGGATCCTTTACAGAATCTGCGCAACATTGCAGCTCCGAGTCCAGGCCCCACCGCATCACCTGCGGCCGGGGGCGGGGTGTGGGATTCGCTAGGTATGGGCGCCGGTGCACGAGTGAGGGGCACTTACAGGCAGCAGGCGGTGACCTCGTATTACAACGACCCACTGGAGCACGCATGGCACCTGCAGATCATTGCGATTTCTTCGGGAATGGCAGACCTGCACAGGATGGCGACAGCGATTTCGACGACCGTCCCCCGAACGTGGGCGACGACGATGGCGCCAGTGGCGATGATCACGGTGACGGAGGAGATAGGCCACGACCAGCACATGGTGACACGATGCGCGCCGACGAGGCAGGGGGCGAGCACCGCACAGCAGTAGATCACGCTCGAGATGGAGTGCATGATGATGGTTCACGACCTGTCTCGGGCGGTGATCTGAGGCGCTTGAAACGCGGACCAAGGGAAAAAGACACTATCGCTTCACGTGTGCGCAAACGTCATGGTGGGGTTGCTAGCATTCCACTATCACGAGTCCCCGCAACTGGCCAGATTCCAGTTTCTGAGGACTCTTTCAGCGATCACGGCGGCGAGGAGCGGATCGAGCTGCATGGCGGGAGCGGTCATCCACGAGGTGACACTTCGAGTATGCACGCGACAGCAACGATGGGGCCTTCCGCAGCAGTCCCAGAATCGCAACAGGGTCCAGCACCGTTGATGCGTCATCCCGAGGTTCAGGGAGAGATCAGTCCTCTCCCGGCAGTGCGGGACGAGGGTTCTGTCGGTGCACTGCATCCACTCACGTCTGCCGGAGCGGCAGTCTCAGTTGCAGCGACCTCGGATGTGGGACAAACCACTGGTAGCGGTGGAGCAAGAAAGTATGCTCCCACCTCGCAGTGTTGAACCGCGGCCACCGCCTGCATTGATGGAGGGGAGTCAGGGGACCGTTGTTGTGTGTCAAGGCGACGATCTCCCGGAACGTGATATCTCACACACTCCCGCAGCCGAGCAGAGCGCCGCAGACCATGTCGGCCTCGCATGCCCCACCGGCAGTCTTCCGGGTACCGACGAGTTACTGACCATGGACTCTGCGCTCGTTTCTCTACCGGACTTGTCGACATTGATATCCCCAGGTCTACCCCATGTGTCACCGCCCAAGCCACAACAGCCTGTTGTCATCGAGCGTGGATCGGACGGGTTTGACGTGGCAGGAGGCGATATCGCCGATATGATTACGAGACCAATGGTGTCTGCCACGCCCACAATTTTTCGTGTTGGCAAACTACGCGAGGTGGCCCTTGGTTTGGCGGAGACGGCGATGCGACACCGCTGCGACGGTCAGCGCAGCATCGCACAAMGCAGTCTTTCTCATTCGTTTGACGGCGCAGAGGAAGGGTCTCATGGTGGGCCAGTTGACACACTCGAAAGAGAAGCAAGACCCCCAAGTCCGCCGTCAAACTTAGAGCATCATCCGATTGCCGCGGCTGTCGGCGCAGATGCGGGCGTCCCCGTCACAAACAGTGGCGCAGACGCGACAGAACAACTTGTGGTTGGGTCATCGGCGACAGCACGGCGCGACAGAGCCACTGTTTTGCCGACAGTGGCATTTTATGCCAGCGGGAAGAGTACTGGGGG